AGGGGTAGAACTGTAAAATACGAGAGAATCCCGAGAAAAACAGCAGGGTGGACAGGTATGCATTAAATGTATTGACATGTGAAAGTTTATTTGTAGCCATATTTACTTATAAAAGAAGTTTAATTTTGAATAATTGTTATTAGATATTATTGATAAAATAAACTAATAATGAGGAATGCATTAAATTGGTCAAAAGTGACGGTACTTTATGATGTTACAAAAGTTTTCTATTTAAAATAGGAGATGGTGTTCTTTTGCACTGTAGAAAATATGGTTTCCACAATTTATGACAGATCCTTCATAGCGTAGACTCAACAAGATACTGGAAATATTCCTCAGAGATTTTGCTCCATATTGACATGATAGCATCGCGCAGTTGCTGCAGATTTGTCGGCTGCACATCCATGATGCCAATCTCCCGTTCCACCACATCCCAATGGTGCTCTATTGGATTGAGATCTGGTGACTGTGGAGGCCATTTGAGTACAGTGAACTCATTGTCATGTTCAAAAAACCAGTCTGAGATGATTCGTGCTTTATGACATGCTGCGTTATCCTGCTGGAAGTAGCCATCAGAAGATGGAGACACTGTGCTCATTAAAATGGAGCATTTGTATCATAAATTGTGAGCCAAAAATATGGAGAGTCATTAGTGACAAAAGATAACTTTTTAAAATGGACTTTTTATTGAATTTTGACACTTTTAAATTAATTATTGATCATTTGTATAATATTTAGTGAGGCAAAATTTTAAAAAATGATGCCATGTTATCTTATTTTGACAAATTAATTTTTGACCACTGGTCAAAATGAGCCAAAAATATGGCAAGTCAATAGTGACAAAAGTTCACTTTTTAAAATTGACTTTTTATTGAATTTTGACAATTTTAAATTAATTATTGATCATTTGTATCATAATTAGTCAGGCAAAATTAAGCAAAATTATGCCATGTTATCTTATTTTGACAAATTAATTTTGACCACTGGTCAAAATGAGCCAAAATTATGGCAAGTCAATCGTGACAAAAATTTTACTGTCTAGAATTGACTTTAAATTAAACTTTAACCATTTGCATCATTATTAGTGAGCCAAAATGAGCCAAAATTATGACAAGTTATCTCAGTTTGTCAATTTTAAATGACCTTTTGACTATGTGTATGATAAATTATGAGCCAAAATTATGGCAAGTCAATCGTGACAAAAGTTATACTATTTGGAATTAAATTTGATCTAATTATGACAAAGTTAAAATTAATCTTTGACCATTCATATCATCATTTCACAATCTTATTATTTAGTTTTTTGAACCATTTCACTTCAAAATAGAATGCATCATTAAAATGATCTTTACTCACAGCACATTCCTCTTTATAATTTGAGAAACGCAGATTAAAGCGGTTTCAGAAATTGAATTTAATGTGTGTATTTCTGCCATCTCAGTCTCCACTGTCGACGTGTTCAAACTGGCTTTCAAAACAACATGGCAATCATCTGAACCACAAATTACAACAAAGCTGAGAGACGTCGAATCTTTAGCTTTTATTGATTTTGCAAGACTGCAGTCTGTGAAGTTGGAGCTGATTACAGGCTTCTGTGGAGGAAGAGTGTTTGTTTGTCTGCTGATGTGGCCTGTTTATGTGCTTCACTAATGTGTGTTTGTGTAAAGAAGAGCAGAAATGTTTGGGTTTTTTGCTGATGTCAGGAGATCTTCTGTCTGACTCGGGGATTTAAAGCTGCCGGCAGCTTCTCCAAGTGTCTGCGCCGATAATTATCAACTTTACTAAACCAGCCTAGATGCTGGATTACGTAACCTGTGTGCTGTATTACAGCTTATGTAATGTAGCAAGTCATAATTACCAGACACAACATGATAAATATGAGATTTAAAAAGAAAAGGCATAATTGTGAGACAAAAAGTTGAATTTATGAGAGCATAAATGTGTCAAAATTTTGGCAAATCAATTGTGACAAAAAAACTTTAGAATTTACTTTTATCACATTTTGACAATTAAATTTTTTTGACCATTTGTATCAATTTGTGAGACAAAATGAAGCAAAATTATGCCAATTTATCATATTTTGACAATTTTAAATACATGTTTGACTATTGATATCATCGTTTGTATCATAATTTATGAGACAAAATTAACCAAAATTATGGCAAGTCAATCATGACAAAAGTTCAAGCGTTTTAGAATTGACTTTTTATCTTATTTTGACAATTTCTTACATTTTAAAATCATGGGTCAAAATTATGGCAAGTCAATCGTGACAAAAGTTCTACTTTACAATTTATTTTATCTAATTTTGACAATTTAAAATAAAATTTAACCATTTGTATCAATTAATTAGACACAATGAGCCACATTTATGGCAAGTTAGCTCATTTTGACAATTTGAAAAACATTTCCGACCATTGGTATGGCATGTCATTTGTGACAAAAGATGAACTTTTTATGTCATTTTGTCAAAATGTTACATATTAAAGCCATCGGTCAAAGTTATGGCAAATCAGTCTTGACAAAAGTTCTATGTTGTAGAAATTACTTTTTTGACAATTTTAAATTATTTTTTGACCATTTGTATTATAATTTGTGAGCCAAAATGAACCACAATCAATAGTGACAAAAGATGTACTTTTTAGAATTGACTTTTTATCTAATTTTGACAACTTTGAATTCTGTTTTGACCATTGGTATCATAATTTATGAGACAAACTGAACCAAATTTATGACAAGTTATCTTATTTTGACCATTTTAAATACATTTTTGACCATTTCAGTAGTCAATAGTGACAAAAGATTTACTTTTCAGAAATGACTTTTTATCTCATTTTGACCATTTAGATTTTTTTGACCATTTATATCAACATTTTTTAGACACGATGAGCCCAAATTATGACAAGTTCTCTCATTTTTGACCATTGGTGTGGCAAGTAAACATTTTGACAAAATGTTGCATAATAAAACCCTGTGTTAAATCTGTGGTAAGACAATCGTGACAAAAGTAAAAAAATTTTTAGAACTGACTTTATTATATTTTCATAATTTTGTACATTTTAAATTGTGGGTCAAAATTATGGCATGCCAATCGTGACAAATGTTCTACTTTCTAGAAATTGCTTTTAATTCTACTTTGACAATTTTAAATGAGTTTTTGAGCATTTGTTTCATAATAAGTGAAAAATAATAACCAAAATTAAGGCAAGTTAACTTATGTTGATAATGTTAAACAAATTGACCACTAATTTGTATCATAATTTGTGAGCCAAAATGAGCTTAAATTATGGCAAGTCAATCATAACAAAAGTTCTACTTTTTAGAGTTGATCTCATTTTGACCATTTACATTTTTTTTTACTATTTGTATTACAATTTGTGAGACAAAAACCAAAAACCAAACCAAAATTGTATCTGTTATCTTATTTTGACAGTTAAAAATTTGACCATGGGTACCATAAGTTGTGAGCCAAAATAAGTCAAAGTTATGGCAAGTCAATCATAACAAAAGTTTTGCTTTTTATAAATTACTTTTTTATTTCATTTTGAATTAATGTTTGACCATTTTTATCAAAATTTATGTGACAAATAACCAAATGATTTATTGCTGTCATCTTATTTTGACAATTTTAAATAATTTTTGACCACTGGTATCATAATTTGTATGATAATCTGTGAGCCAAAATTATGACAAGTTAATCGTGACAAGTTATAATTTACTTTTTATCTCATTTTGACCATTTTAAATAATTTTTTTATCATTTGTATCATAATTTGTGAGACAACATGAGATAAAATGATGGCAAGTCAAATGTGACAAAAGATGGACTTTTTATCTCATTTTGACAAAATGTTACAATTTTATGATGGCAAGTCAATTGTGATAAAAGTTGTACTTTTTACAATTTACTTGTTATCTCATTTTGACCATTTTAAATAATTTTTAAATAATTTTTGACCATTTGTATAATAATTTATGTGACAAAATGAACCCAAATTATGGCAAGTTATCTTCTTTTGACAGTTTTAAATACACTTTGTCTAGTCAATTGTAACAAAAAATATATATTTTTATCTAATTTAAAAATTTTTTTTTTTTTTTTTTTTTTTTTTTTTACAAAATGTTACCTAATAAACTGAGTTAAATTTATGGCAAGTCAATCGTGACAAAAGTTCTACTTTTAGAAATTACTTTTTATCTCATTTTGACAATTTTAAATAGATCTTTGACCATTTATATCAAAATTAGTAAAACAAAATTTACCAAACTATGGCAAGTTATTTCATTGTCACAATGTTAAATAAAGTTTTGATTATTGATATAATAATTGGTATCATAATTTGTGAGCCAAAATGAGCCCAAACTATGGCGTGGGTCAAAATCATGTCAATTCAATCATGACAAAAGTTCTACTTTTTAGAATTTACTTTCTATTTCATTTTGACTATTAAAAAAAAAAAAAAAAAAAAAATATATATATATATATATATATATATATTTATTTATTTATTTTTTTTATTTATTTATTTTTTACAAAATGTTACCTAATAAAGTGGGTCAAAATCATGTCAATTCAATCATGACAAAAGATCTACTTTTTAGAATTTACTTTCTATTTCATTTTGACTATAAAAAAAAAAAAAAAAAAAAAAATATATATATATATATATATATATATATATATATATATATATTTATTTATTTTTTTATTTTATTTTTTTTAACAAAAAGTAACCAAATAAAGTGGGACAAAATCATGTCATTTCTTTCATGACAAAAGTTCTACTTTTTAGAATTTACTTTCTATTTCTTTTTGACTATAAAAAAAAAAATATATATAAAAAAAAAAAAAAAAAATTTATTTATATATATATACATATTTTTTTTTTTTTTT